ATTGTTAGGTACTATACTAGCAGCTCGTTGTGTCAGGATGGAATACTCTCTTTTTAATAATACTAATCTTTTTATTTACACTATGAATACATACATACACTTGGCACCCTGTGCCACTTCTACAATACTATTGATATCTAAAAACCAAAGCCGGTCCCTGACCGTCTGCTTTTATCTGATACTACTAGCGTTCACCTCGTGGTCTCAAGATCTCACCGCAACTGCTACTTACCGCACTGGACCACAGTTACTGGTCACAGTTACCAGTTATAACCGCGACCTCTCGCGGTTATAATTAAATGTTACAGTATAACCGCCACAACTACTTGACTTTTATTTTACTTTATCTTAAATGCTTGTACTCGTATGTAAAATGTATTGCTACACAATGGCTGTCCTAGTCCGAGTCCTGGCCCAGTGGTAACGGGCGAAGCTAACATTCAGGAGGTCTCAAGTTTGAATTCACTCGCTAAGTATGCATTGCAGTCACTGTTTTCTGAAACGATATGTGGAGGCAATGCCAATTCAATGCCAAGTGTTAAAACGCGTGCAGAGTATTTGCATTCATAGTTGAAGTTGTCTAAAGGGATTTTTCTTGGCTTTTTTTTTTTTTTTCAAATGTGGAGAAGTTAACAATAAAAATCCTCGTGGAAGACACTATCTGGACTTTATTGTCCATCGGTGGGGTAAGTAAAGCAAGAGGCTCACTGATGGTTTTAAATAAAAATAAAAAAAACCCATTAAGCGCACAAGTAAGTAAACCCAGTAAAGGCACAAGTCTGAATACTTTTCCATCGAGAATTGTTGCATTGGTCCACAAATATAAGCAATTCGCAATGGAAAAGCATTCATTCATTATTGCTTCTTCTTCCTTGGCTCAACAGTTCCATGGTGGGCCAAGGCCGTCTGCCTACTGCCAGATTCCGAAACAGGAGATGTTTTCGATTTACGAGGTAGGATTGTCAGCCCTACGTCCAAAGCTCGACAGTCAGGTTTGAACAGAATCAACGGTTTAAAGTGGATTCCAAACCATTATAGACATCCATGGCACGGTGGACCTCGAGCCCGAAACGTGTGGCACCGAGAGCTAGTCACTCAGCCATAAGACTCATTCATTATTTCTACAATATATTATATATAAATCTCACTAACATACACTCAAGAGCAAAAACATTATGACCACCTGTCAATAACGAGTTGGCCCACCTTTGGCGCGCAACATAGCTTCAACCCGCCTTGGCATGGATTAATACCACCACTTAATACCAGTTAACTACCACTTCCACCTGATCACGTGCCTTCCACGTCATCCAGGCGAGTTCATTGCAAAATGTAGGGGTGGTCATAAATTATTACTGCAATGTTCCAATGTATGTATTCTATTAGTGCTGATTAGTATGGTTTTATATATCAGTGATTATGTCTCCTTCTAATAAATAAAAGCATTAATTGTTATTTATTTTGCTGAAAAAGGATTAAATTTAGGATTTTAAATTTTAAGACATATTCACACTGTATTGGTGGTAATGCAATCTGTTCATGGCTAAACCTCAGAAGCGTCAACACCGTGTGTCCCTGAATTGAAAAGGCAAAATCTGCAATACATTGCAACGCATAATTTACTATTCACTTCATCATTTATTTTTCTGGAGCAAATGCCACGAATTTTACGACAAACATTGCTTCGTCCTTTGCATATATATAAAAAACGGCGATGCAAATCAGGCAACCACCTGTTGCGCAAGATTCCTTCTCTTATAAAAAATAAAAAGGAATATTAATTAGCATGCGTGCACGATAACCCTGACAACAGAAGCTACGTTGGCGGCATTGCAGCACACCATTCATTTCTCGCAATCACGCAATGCCGAGTCAAAGTGGAGCACATTGAATCCTTAGGGCTCCACTTTCTCCTCTCATTTCTTGCACATGGCTAATGACACACGGACATCTCAATCAGGCATTGTCGATATATGGACGAGTTATGTTAATTAGACTGATTATTTAATTACATTATGCCAATTGTGGACACACATTTTAATATTAAATACTGTAATTGTTCAATATTCTGATGATTATATGATGCCATTTACTAAAACCCGTCCTTAGCGTTAGCCCACAGGGAATTTTTTAATCTGTTACTGACTAATTATAATTTTCTGTTACTGATTACTTAAAAAAAAATTTAAAAAACAAACAAACCAGAAGTCATTAAGAATTTCAATGTATCCTGTTTGGAGGACAAACTTTATTATTTATTTCATCAAAGAAACTTGAATATGTGATGCCAAGTGATGATTCAATTTACTTTCATAAGCGTAACTGATCTTTAGTAAATACCGTTTATGCCTGATGGTCGAATGACTAGCGCTCTGTGCCACAGGTTACCGTAGGTCCCTGTCTAATATGAATGGCGTAGTAGAGCATTGGGAATAGAGCTGAGAACCCTACCTCGTAAAAAGAAAACATCTCATGTCTCGGAATCTGCCAGTAGGCAGATGGCATTGTCCTACCATGAGGTTGTTGCGCTGTGAAGAAGAAGACGATACCGTTTTTAGAAAACTGAAACAATAATACAGATATGCAAAAAATAAATAATAATAATAAAAAACGGATATCATTACGAATTTAAGTGTATCATGTGTGGACAAACTTTATTACTTATTTCATCCAAGAAACTTAAATGTATGAAACTTAAATGTATGATTGTCCAATTAACTTGCAAAAGCGTAATTGATCATTAATTGATGCCTTTTTTGTCTGATGGCCAAGCGACTAGAATTCTGGAGCTCAGTGCCACAGGTTTGGGGCTCGAATCCCGACAGTACCATAGATGCTTGTGGGGAATCCACAAGCATCTATGGTACTGCCGGGAATCGGGATTCGGAATCCATCTTAAATTGTAGATTCCAGTCTAATATGTCTGTAGAGAGTTGAAAATAGGGCTGACAACCCTACCAAGTAAAAAAAGAAAACACCATCTCACGTTTCGGCATCTGCCAGTAGGCAGACGGCAATGGTCCATCATGGGGCTGTCGCTCCACTGAAGAAGAAGATACCCTTTTTAGAAAACTAAAATAATAATACAGACCAAATTTTAAAAAAAATAGAATAGAAAAGAAAAAAAATGAGCGGAGCCGTATATAAACCAACCTTCGTAGTTTAGTCTTAGAAAAAGTTCTTAAAATTCTCGGCTAATACACGGATATATACGATAGCATTCCAATTCCGCTAAGTGCCAATAAGTGATAATTTATAAAATATGGTACGATGTTTATAAGCATATTCAGAAGAATATGGTCCCCTCATTTATCATTACGTGCTCTCTATTTGAAAAATATATACCAAATGATAATTCTTTTTGTTTTGTTCAAGATGCTCGGTTTTAGCCATCTTCATGTATAACAGGCTATTTTTTTAATTGTTATTTCAATATCAATAATGCTTTTAAAATTATGTTAAATTAAGATATATATAGTCCAGGGAACCAAAAGGGAACTGTTAACAAGGAAATAACCAGAACGCACAAATAAATCATATAATTGTAAAATTCATAGAATTCTACAAAACTCTTTTAAAATTACGTTTGTGGTTACAGACAAGAAATTACTGCAGTTAAATAACAAGTTAAAAACCAACGACCAAGTTGAAGCTATTGGGCGTGATACTGGTCGCTTATTTTTAATTTGTGGGAAGTCTCTACGTTATTTAGGAAGAAAGGAGTCTGCTTTTACTGTTCGAAAATAATTACTAGAGTAGGTTTGTTACTTTTCCTGGTAAGGGGTCGAACAGTTAAGATGCCCACCCCCTCTTGCACACTCCCTCTGCCCGCGAGCGAGGAAGAAGTGTAAACAAGGGGGCAAAGGCTTGACAGGGGGTGTAACAGTAATAAATGGTGTTAGAGAAATTTTCCAGATCACCTCCCCGTGACGCATGTTTCCGGTCAAGTGCTTCTGTGAAGGAAAGTGAGTGATGAACACCACCCCTTCTCAGGGAAGCTCAGTTCTTATTCTGATGTGTTGTCGTGCCGGGTTGAATTCTTTTCGAAAATGATTTTCTACGTACAGTAATACTAAATATATTATCTTTATATATATAATTTTTCTCTACATGTGTTTGTCACATGTAGAGAAAAATTACTATATTATTATATTATTATTACTATATTACTGTATTACTGTCCTCCTAAACGGCTGCACCGATTTTGATGAGTGGTGTGTATTTGAGTGGGTCCCCGGATGGTTTAGATTCATAATTAGATCCGGTAGGTAGCGCTGCAATCGATATAATTCTTCTGTACGTGTGTTTGTCACTGAACTCCTAAACGACTTGACAAATTTTGATGAAAACTTTTGTGTGTGTTTAACAAAACATGGAGAATATTTTTATGCTATACTCTTTGTTGTAAGGCGCCACCAGATGGTGCTGCAGTATATCAACTTCTATACAGTTCAACCAATCGCTGTGAAAATTGATAATAATATGTATTAGAGTGGGGGTCTAATGGCTATCGCTCTGGCGCTCGGAATCCACTTTAAATCGTAGGTCCTGGTCTAACAGGATTGTAGAGCATTGCGGTTACTCCACGTCCGTAGCTTATCTTCAGGCTACACTCACCTCCTGGATAGTACTGAGTAACGTCAGTGCAGTGCTTGCCGTAAGACATCAAAGATAACTATCTAAGTGTTTGCTAGCTGCATCAGGAAAAAAATATATAGATAGATATATGTATTAGGGTATGGAAAATATATTCCGTTAGCCACTTTATTGTTACTTGTCACCAGATAGTGCTGCAGTATTTTATCAAATTTCAGAGATATCCTTCAAACAATATCCATGAAAAAAAAAAAATAATAAAATAATAACATTAAAAGAGAAGGCAAAAAATACAATGGCAAATAAATGCACGTACCATTTGGTATTTATCAAACAATACGATATTTGAGTCAATAATAGGATTTTCCAATGTTTACCACTAACTTTGAAATTGTATACTTTTATTACCGGTTCTCGTTAGATCACCGAAGTTAAGCATCATTGGGCGCGGTTTCAATACTTGGGTGGGTGACCATCTGGGAACACTGCATAATTGAAGGGGAAAAGCAGCTTTGGGACCTGAATGGCCGTAGTGTCTAGCGCTCTGACTTTTGCTCGGTGCCACAGGTTTCGGGTTCGAATCCCGGCGGTGCCATGGATGTTTGTAGTGGTTCGGAATCCACTTTAAGCCGTATCCCGGTCTCCTATGACCGTAAGAGCGTCACGGAACAAAAAGTCAGGCTTCTACCTACGGGTGCTCCATCACAACAGAAGCTGCTTCCTTCCCCCAATCATGAGTCCATAACGGCTCGTGGTGTTCCCAGATGGTCACAACAACAACAAACATACTTTTATTAATAAAGATACGAAGCAAGGTTTTAAAATAATTTTTTCAAACTATATATATATATTAATATATATATATATATATATATATCCTGTTTCGAGGCAAGTTTTCATCTGGCATAAAACAAAAATTCACTGTAGAAAACAATTACACAACAAAAATGGGGGGAAAAAATTATGAGAAGAGGCTAATTATTACCTTAAATGCTATTAATAATCTTAAACTACTAATAATAATTTCCTGTATCTATTCAGTAACAACAGATGCCGCTGACAATAGTTATTTTATGAGCAAAAGCTACACAATCATTGGCATAGATGTTTGTGAGTGATTCGGAATCCACTCTAGGTACCCATCTAATTTGCCCAAAGTGTGCACAAAATGGCAATAGAACGGCAAACCAAACCAATCAAATGTTTTAAAATTTAAGACCGGTCTCTAGTGAATATGGATTGTTCGAAGGTGGACTACGTTAGATAAATGTTCTAATTCTAACTTTAAGAAAGAGATTTTGAGAACTATGTGAAAATAAGATGGAAAAATAAATAAAGAAAGAACACAATTAGCTTTGTTTTGACAGAAATTAACTTATAGAACTATCAACATGTTGTTGTTGTTGTTTCTTATCCCACTTGGCTGGCCAAGCCCACGAGCCCATATGGACTCATGATTGAAGGGGAAGGAAGCAGCTTCTGTTGTGATGGAGCACCCGTAGGTAGAAGCCTGACTTTTGCTCCGTGACGCTCTTACAGTCATAGAAGACCGGGACCTACGATTTAAAGTGGATTCCGAACCACTACAAACATCCATGGCACCGCCGGGATTCAAAACCGAAACCTGTGGCACCGAGCGCTAGACACTCGGCCATTCAGGTCCCAAATTTGCCAACGGCACGCAGTGTTCCCAGGTGGTCACCCACCCAAGTACTGACCGCGCCCAATGATGCTTCACTTCGGTGATCTAACGAGAACCGGTATATTCAGCATGGTACGGCCGTTGGCCACTATCAACATCGATTACATAAGTATTTTTCTAACAAGCTCTCAGAAAAAAGGGAAATAGCGTTCGACGAATCTTAAACCTACAATTATCTTCCAACTATCCAAACCGGAAAACATATCTAAATCACAACGATAGTAGGAAGCGATAATCAGTAGATGGTATTACTTCAAAGTTTAGTTCTTCCGACTACAATTCATAGAATCCTGATACTTAGTATTTTAGCTTAAACCGCATCGTAATCTTTCCTACAAGTTCCCTACTTACAAAAACGTACAAACCGCATCCTCTTCAAATTTCCTTTTTGAGTTACAATGTAAATGTCAGTTTTTTTAAGCTGTTAATGAAGTAATAGTTGAAAAGTATTTCCGGATATCACTCAATATTTCACTCGTTTTGATTCAGAGAAAATATATTGCAAGTATTTAGACAGAATATTCATAATTCTGCCAAGATGGCTGACGTAGCCGAGTTTCGTGGTGCAACTGACGATATTGGTGATGCCACTGATTAAAAATGAAATTTTATTATCAAAAAATATTTCACATGCAATCGAAACACAATAAATTAAAGAATAAAAAAAATATATATATTCATAATTTTGTTCAGCATGGAGTATTATTGGGGCCCCAAGTGGCTCTCGGTGCAACAGGCTTCGAGTTCGAGTTCCGGCGGTGCCATGAATGTGTTGTAGTGGTTCGGAATTCACTTTAAACCGTAGGTCTCGGTCTAATATGACTGTAGAGCGTTGTGGTTAGGACTGACAATCCTACCCTGGCAGACGGCTTGACCCACCATGGGCTATTGCGCCAATAATGATGATGGAGTATTATGAAAAGATTTTTTAAGCCATTCATTTAAATAGAAAGGCATAGATGTACAAACATCGTATGCCTTTTGTATAAAAGATGTATATGAATTTTTATATCCTTTTTTTTATATACAATATAATATATGTAATATAAAATATGACTTTTGGTACCCCAAGTTTCGGTTTCGAGTCCCTCGCGGTGCCATGGATGTGTTGTAGTGGTTCTGAATCCACTTTAAACAGTACGTCCCTGTCTAATATGACTGTCGAGCTTTGCGCGTAGGACTGACCCTAACCCTGGACGTAACCCTACCTCATAAAAAGAAAAACATCACCTGTCTCGAAATCTGCCAGTAGGCAGACAGTTTGACCCACCACAGGGCTGTTGCGCCACTGATGAGGATGATGACAATGAATATAGAATATATATATGTAATATAGAAGTATATTTTCTTATTAAAAATTTTTTTCTTTTATTCTATTTTATTAGAAAATAGAAGATCAGATACTATTATAAAATGATAGTTTGGATTTTTTTTTGTGTGTGTTATATTTAACAGCAAGATTATTAAATGCTGCAGCCGTGATTCCTCTTCCACAGGCAAGGTGTTCAAGAGAAATGACTGGTAGGACTCGAAACTCTCACCCGAGAAGAAGTACAGCGAAATTTGTTCTCCCGCTGAGGAACGTTTAGTTTACAGTCCCACATCCAGAGAGGAAAGATATTTAACTCAACCCTAGGTTTCATCAAGAAAACCCAGAACTTTTTTTCAAGGATTCATCAAGGATAATAACAACCTCATTAAAATCCAGATTTTCTTTGCCCATAACAAAGGAACTGTTAAATATCCATACTCCACTACCAAATAGAATCTACCTCTAAAACTATCATAATACACTGAATACATTTTTTCATTAATCTTTAAGACCTACCCTTCATACAAGAAATTATCTCTACACATGCGTAGTGGCGCATTCAAGTCTGCAAGAATTCATCCTTTCTGACTAAAGTGTATTTTTGCTTCTTCATTCAAGACTCCTCCTTACTAGAGGAAGTCCTCTGACGTCACTACCGTCCAGCAGCATTTGCACCGGCTTCCCCACAACCTTTGGACTTTTATAACCACTCTTTTTCCGGTTAAAAATTTTACTTTATTTTTTCCTTTTATTATTATTATTATTTTTTTTTTTTTATTAATTTATTTATTTTCTCTTAATTATTTAATTCTTTCAACTTCTCAGCTGCTATTTAAAAAACTTCGATCTTGAGTAGATGTATGCCATGCAAACAGGAACTCAGTCCTTCTATCTAATCTAGATTTTTTATTTAGCATATATATTTCATTTCTTAATATACAATAATATAATAATATATACAATAGTATAATAATATAATAAATAATGTAACAATAAAAAAATAGGATAAATAAAGAATATTGGGCTTAAAAAAATGAATACTACTTAAAAACATTTTTAATAACTTAAAAAATAATAGAAGATTAGAGAATCAAAAACCTAAAGTCCGCATTTATTAGGATTCTTTTAGACAGCTGTAACTCTGTATACGCCAGCTTTGTAGTGATATGCATCTTGATATACGTCCTGATTGAATGCAAATAACTTTTGTTCGGTGTACGACCTTCGTTTTAAATACGACTAGCATGCATCAAAATCTTTGGAGACTATATATAAAAAAAAAATCTATTGGGAAATATCTCCCCAGCAATGCCCAACCAATAAATAATATAGCATAATAATAAAAAAAAGGATAAATAAAGAATATTGGTTTTTAAAAAATGAATACAACCTTAGGCCATTTAAAAAAGTTCTTAATAACTAAAAGAATAGTGGGAGATTAGAGAGCCTAAGCCAAGAGCCTAAAGTTTGGCATTTACAAAACTATTATGATTCTATCAGACAACTGTAACTCGGTATATGCCTGCTTTGTAATGCTTCCAACTTGATATACGTCCTGTTTGAATGCAAACAATTTTATTCGGTGTACAACCTTTGTTTCGAAGACGACTCGCATGCATCAAAATCTTTGGCAAATGGATCAGACATAAAAAAAATCTACAGAGAAATGCCCACAAGGATGGAAAACTACTTCAATCTACGTCCGCTTCGGAATAAGTCCAACTTTATATATATTCGGTTTGAAAACGAAAAATTCTGTTTGGTATATAACATTTATTTGGAGTACGACTTGCTGGCTTCTAAATATTTGCCAAATGGATCAGATGGCGTTATTACAAATGCATAAAAAGTGTGGAAAACTACCTCTGTCTACGTACGCTTTGCATTAAGTCATCTTTATATAAGTCTGGTTTGAAAATGAAAAATTATGTTTGTTATACGACATTTATTTGGAGTACGACTTGCTTGCATCTAAATATTTGGTGACTGAATCAGAAGTCAAAAAAAAAAAAAAAAAAATCTACAGAGAAATACCTGCTCAGCAATGCCCGAACAAGCTGAAACAGCAATGAGTAGACAATGTCACAATTCCGAAATACCCTGACGAGAAGGCAGATGAAAAGTTACACGGGCAGATGTTTAGTAAATGTCAACTCTTGTAATCCTCAACCCAGTAAGAAAAAATAAGGATAAATATTTTTGGTAAATTTTCATCTGCTTTCGTATTTATGTGTTTTAGTGTTTAAATTATTATGTACAACTTCATCCACGTGTAACAGGCCACTAACAGTAGGCTTTGTAGTAAAAGGGTTTAATCATTTTCTTTTTATTCCTTTATTTACATTCCTCCCCTTTATTCTTTATGAGGAAAAGAATCTGGAATGTATTAAGGATGCATACCGTGATACCACTGTAAAAAAAAAAATTTAAATGTTTGTATTCAAATTTAATTTATAATTTGCTAATATAAAAACCTA